TGGGATTTTTAAAAAATGGCAACAGCCCATGTTATTTAGATTCTCGTCATCAGCCACAAAATCCAATGTCTTAGTCGATGTAATAAAACTGATAGTCACTGAAGTTCAAAATTGTAGGTTAAAAGTCAAAGCAATAATCTGTGATCAAGGAAAACCAAATCAAGCTGCTATAAATTTCTTATTAAAACAATCGCAACAAATTTATAAAAGCCGTAACGAAACAATAAAAAGAAGAATTATAATTGGTAATGACGAAATTATTCCTCTGTATGATCCACCACATCTTATCAAGGGTGTTAGAAATAATTTATTAACTAAAGATTTGGTATGGGAAACGAATAATGAAATTTTGAAAGCGGAATGGAAACATATTTTAGACGCTTATTTCAATGATCAGCCTTGTGGTGAATTACGAGCTCTGCAAAAGATTACTGACTTACATGTTATTACCAATAAAATACCAAAAATGAAAGTCTGCTACGCTACTCAGGTTCTTAGCCATTCTATGGCCTCAACTATTTCTTTATTAGTTAAAACTGGTATGTTTTTGGCTATATTTAATTTTAATCCGACTAAATATGTTGTGTATTAGGTCAGCTTCAAGAACAAGCTCTAGGAACGGCGAAAATCGTCAATTTTTTTGATAAACTTTTCGATAGTGTGAATGGTGGCACACTTCGTTCACATGCTGGCAAGCCTCTTCGCGGAGGTGTGTTCAAAAATTCTGGGCATACAACATTTTGGAAAGAAGCGATTCAAAATTTGAAAAATATGTATTTTATTGACAAAAATGGAAAGAAAATTGTGCCGCCAAGTTTGAAAAATTGGATATACACTTTGGAAGGATTTTTAGAATTGTATGAAATACTGATTTATGAAGGAAAATCAAAAATTTTTTTTAACTAGATCTCTAAATCAAGACATTATAGAAAATTATTTTGGCAAAATTAGAAATCAACGAAATCAGGCTATTAATCCCACAGCATTACAGTTTAGAGATAGTTTTAAATCACTCATGATACGAGAATTTTTTGGATCAAAAGCAATAGGGACAAACTGCGAGGAAACTAATGTTCCAGATTTATTCAATATTAGAAACTTAGTAGACAACATAAAAAATCACAGTTGCAAAAGTCATGAAATTTCAACCGAAGTATTTAATGTGGATAAATATATTTCAGGACTTCTTGATTTTCAGTTAGAAAAAGAAATTCACAAAAGCATAATAGGTTACGTCTCTGGCTGGATCGTCAAAACCTTAAAAAACTTAAACTGTGAACACTGCAGATCAAAAATTATTTGCCCGGACGGAGAAAATTGCAGTACTGTAATCCCGACTTTATAAAAAGTATTAACAAGGTTTATAACATAGCAAGAATAGTATTAGGTAATATAACTTGTCCCAATAATATTAAAAACAAAATTTTAGTAGTAGTTTCCAATCGCGTTAAATTTTCATTTACTTGTGAACACAGACACAAAATTGAAGAGGAAATTGTAAATAAAATAGTCAACTTAACGATATTTATGTTTGTTAAAGGAGCTAATCTAATTTTAAGTGGTAAAGACACTAGGTGTTCATTACATAAAAACAAAATTTATAAGGCTGCCGTGGAAATGTACAAAAAGAAATTGCATATGAAAAATATAAAATAAAACTTTTCTCATATTGTAATATCTATTTATTTCAAAATCTTAAAAATCAGAATTACTAAAAAGAATTAAATACAGATGCGCAGTAAGACCTAGCAGGCTATGCTATTTTACACCCTCCACAAATCAACAGATGGTGCTAGCGTTTGAGGGAAAAAAAAAGATAGGTAGTTTGCGTTCTATATTTGTATTATGTTATCTATGTAAAGTCGCGATCTTTTCTATAGAACCACTCCCTAGTGTAAATTTTCAAAATTTGTTTGGTGTAAGTGACCTTGACGGGTTTCTGGGGGCATGGCCGACTCCATTAATCTCTAAAGAGATATGGCCGTTCCAATCGGCATTTACAAATTCTCTATCCAAACAATTGAAAAGTTCTCTAAAGTGGTGCCATCTGACAATGGAAATGTTAAAAAAATACAACACCGATCAAGTTGACATTAAATTTTGACAATTTGTAATTTAATAACGTCAAATAAATTCAGCTCAGGAATGTTTATAACAGAACTCATTTTATTATATCAAATGGAATAAATAAAAATAGCAATGGAAAATTCTAATCATATTAATGTAAGTAGATATCCCTGAATACCTATGCACTAAATAATAATAAAAAGAAAATTACAACTTTAGAACCTTTCTGCTGACTGGTTTGTGCTGCAACAATTTTGTCTTGACCATTGACTAATCAGTCTGTGGTTTCAAGACATATGTTGTTCAAAACAGGTTTTACAGTTGTTGTTACAACAAATTTACATACTAAACGTTTACGTTTTTCACATTTAAATAGAGGGTTCTTCTCTAGGTGAGGAAATATTATGTTCAGCAACTGTTCACAAGCTCTTTCAAATTTTAAAAGTGGAAACATTTTCAAAGCAATGTCCGATATTTGTTTCACAACCCCTACAAAACGAGAATTCGGATAAGTTAGTCCCCCACGATCTTGTTAAAAAATTAATTTTAAGAGAGGTCCAGGAAGTTCAAATGATAATAGCGGAGAAAGACAGTCATCACAGTGAAATTTGTCATCTAATTTTTTTATAATGTACCCTGCTAAAAAGAGACAGAAGCGGAATAAATATCTGCACGTTGTTCAATATTCTTACACAAATTGATTCTTAAATATTTGTCAGCTGGAAATCCAAAGAAAGGTTTAGTACTGTTCCCACATAAATAACATTTCTTCATGTCTGACGATTTATTTGCAATTACCGCTCAAATTAGGATAAAAGATCAATGTCAGTCAATAAAGAAATCTGTAATTAAAAATTAATATGCGTAAGGACCACCAGAGTCCGCCAGTTTAGGGTCACTTCATGGCATACTTTCCGTACTTGCCAAAAAATGCCAAATGGAACGGCCATATCTCTTTAGAGATTAATGGAGTCGGCCATGCTGGGGGAAAACATATGTGTCAAAAATTTGACAGGCTAGATGGCCCCATTGTCAATGTAGATATTTTATTTTAATAAATAGATTAACAGAACATACAGTCTGCACGGGATACAGTGCGGCATAACTGAGGGCAACCGAAACATTCGTGTTGTGCTAGTTTCGATTGCCATATCAACTACCGCTACCAACCGCGTTCGGCGTAAAGTACTAGATGACAGGGTTACCAACTTGACTTTTTATCGAGTGGTTCCGTAGAAATGACCGTTACTGTACCTCTTGGACAGGCCATAATCTTTATACTAGTCGGCCATGGACAGACATTTAGCCGACATTACAGATTCCTTTCCCTCCCGACTTATGCGCCCTCACATGTCACATTTAAGGGATTGGAGAGACTTTAATAGTGAATCAACGAAGACGACGATACTAAGGCCCGGTTGTATAAAGCCTTTGTTAACTTTAACAAATTGTTAAACCAATGATAAATTCGTTTGCTAATGTCAAGTGTTGTATAAAGCAGTTGACAATCAGTTAACAGCGTGTTAACTAACAATATGTCAAACCTGTGTTAACTCAGGATTTGGGTTGTATAAAGCTATTGTCAAAGTTAACATCATGTCAAACCTTAGTTAACTTTCTGTCAGCTAATTAGTCATCCGTCATCAATTAAGTTGCGATTTTGTGTTTGCTTGAAGTTTTAAGGACAAGGTTTCTGATAGGTTTTGAGGTAAAATAAACGTAATTCAGTAGTAATATGTTGTATTTAGCTTAATTGTTCATGCAAATCAATAGAAGATGTCGACATCTACTTTGTCTTCATTGAGTGACGAAAGCGATGAAGAAGGGAGACTGCAAGCAGCAAGAATACGCCGTCCAAGACGCTTTTTCGTTCGTAAGGATCCTTTTGAACTATATGATGATATGGATTTCAAGGAAAGGTATAGGATCAACAAAAACACATTCAACGAGTTGCTCAATCTGATTGGTCATCACCTGGAACCTGCAACAAAAAGAAATCACTCTATTTCTGGAAAATTGCAACTCCTTGTTACCTTACGATTTCTGGCAAGTGCATCATTTCAACAAGTGCGCGGGGACAATATTGGCATTCATAAATCTTCAACCAGTAGAATCATTACCAGAGTATGTAATGTTATAGCAGCTTTAAAACCTCGTTACATTAAGATGCCAGTAACTGACCAAGAAAGACGTTCAGTTAAGTCTGGATTTCACAACATTCGTGGGTTTCCGAAAGTAACAGGTGCTCTCGATTGCACTCACGTCAAAATACTCTCTCCAGGAGGTGAGCAAGCCGAACGATTTCGGAACCGCAAAGGGTACTTCTCAATCAATGTTCAGGGAGTTTGTGATTCAGAATTAAAAATCATAAACATTATTGCTCGTTGGCCTGGTTCCGTTCACGACAGCACCATTTTCAATGACTCACCCCTGTGTGCTGATTTAGCTTCGGGCGTATACGGAACAGACTTTGTATTAGGTGATAATGGCTACCCATGTTGCAGTTATTTACTGACACCACTGCTGAATCCAAGAAACCGTATGGAGAGAGCATACAATGCGGCTCACAAGGCCAGTAGAAATTGTATTGAGAGGTGTTTTGGAGTGCTGAAACGACGTTTTCCTTGTTTGTCTAGAGGATTAAATATGAAACTTCAATCAACTCTCCACATTATTGTCGTTTGTGCAGTGCTACATAACATTTGCATTCTAGAAAAGGACGCATTTTTTGAAGGTGAAGATCAAGATGTTGATGAAGATCCAGAATTGCACATTTTTAATAACGAAAACACAGCAGTTCGAGTGGCCCTAATTAATTCAGTTTTTGCAGACCTTTAAATTATTGTTTAATGTATGTTAAAATTGTGTTAAAGAAAAGCCAATATGAATGAAAAATTATTTTTATTTTGCATTTAAATTTTCCAACTCTACGTTTAATTTTTAAATCTAAAACATGCAGCTGCCGTTTGGATTTTAGTTCGAAGCAAGCTATTTGATTTTTTTTTTTTGAAGTATAATTCCTTGTAATTGACATTTTTGTTTCTCGTTGTTCTAATCCTGGTACGGCGCGATGTTGTGGCTCTTATCTCAGGCACAGGCTGAGTAACTGGTACATCTCCAGGATCCAAATCAGGAGTCGGTGCCCGAAGTTGAGTACCAGAACACCCAGGAATATCTGTAGGTACTGCAATAATAAATGCGTTGATCTCAAAGGTATTAAACACTTTGGAGACTAAAATATGCTGTTACCATCGTGAAAATAGTTCGCAGCATCATCGAAAAAATTTGGTAAAGGTTGCACTTGGTCTTCTATTATAGCTAAATTTTGAGCGCCTGTTTCATACAACTGCGGCTTATAATTGCCTCCACCGGTTCTATTAAGTTCGCGCCTGTCCTCCTCATCAACCACCTTTGCCTTTAAATATTGTTCTTTCTGTTAACAATAAGTAAATTCGTAGTATGGTCTTTTGATAATAATTTAGTTTTTACATGTTCCTCCGCGACATCTTTTCGTGTTTTCCTTTTCAAATTAGCGTATAGCAATTTCAAATGCTTTACGCTCCTGCTCACTTCAGTCTCTGCATTAAACTCATGTGTTATATTGTCCCACGCTCTGTTTTTCTTCTCATTAATAACACATGACGTGCCTTTATTTTCAATAGTATACCTCGTCGTCTTCGTTGATTCACTATTAAAGTCTCTCCAATCCCTTAAATGTGACATGTGAGGGCGCATACGTCGGGAGGGAAAGGAATCTGTAATGTCGGCTAAATGTCTGTCATGGTCTGACTTTTTGACACAATTTGACATCATGTATTTCGGTTTTTACTCGAAAAAGAGGCAAAATTTCGATACCGGTGCCAAAGTCACAACGCCATGGGCGTGGATGGTCTTCAAAGGGATATGCAGTAGGAAAATTTTTCTTTGAGATGTTTACATTGTTATCGGAATGTGTCACAGGAATTATGAAGTTGCATTCTGGATCACGTTTAGTGCTTGCTGGGTAGCTTGAAGAAGTAGGAACAGGTAGCGGTGACTTGGAACCATGGAGGAACAAAGTAGGAACAGAGCCAGGTTTAAGTCTTTTATTTGAATAATAACAATTTCTCTCAAGAGTGTTTACCACAAATGTATAAATTATTGGCAATATTATCACCTGAAATGGTTTTAATGGCTATACATTCCCTTAGGTAAAAGATTCATGTTGGGGTACCTACTTGTAGCATTAAAAACCTTTTTGCACCACAACTTTTTGTTCACAGTGTTTGAAGGGAATCTGTGCATTATTTTGTGGTCTCTAGGATCCTTGATTACCCCACAAACAGGCACAGAGCAATATTTTTTGGACATTTTGATAATATCAATTCAAGCACAAACTGTTTTGGTGCGTGACAAAACGGATTAATTACAGGTTCCTGTAACTCCCGAAGGGGGTGACATCTTTTGATATTTTCCCTTTTGACAAGTCGGACGATTGTAACTAATTGGAGAGACTTTAATAGTGAATCAACGAAGACGACGGTATACCTTAATCAGGGAAAGAGGAGTGGATATAGCAGACATGTAAAACCGAACGAGGTTATACTTACCTTTCAACTATATTCAAAAATGTAATTTTTTCCCTAGCAGAAAAATTAGGGGTTCTTTTTGTTAAATCTTGCATTTTATCTTCTCAAAACGGCAATACCACACAATGCAAGTTACAAATTGAAGCGACATTTTGGAGGGAAATGTCAACGCGGGAACTCGTACCAACGTAAATTGCTAAACGATAAAATTTCTAGCATTCGAACGTGATCCCATGTTAACTCGTTGTCAAAGGTTTGTCAGTTAACTAGCGTGCGCAAATTATTTATAAAACGATGTCACAAATAATCCAATGTTAACAATCTGTTAAAGTTGACAGAGTGTTAGCTGACATGCAACTTGACATGCTTTTATACAACCGGGCCTAACAGTAGCAAAACCGGTGTTGTCGAATATATGTCTAGAAAAAACAGATTCTTTAAAAAGAAAAATATTAGACAACAAACCCCAAAGCAGGAAAGTATTGAAGCTTTAATAAATGGTTTATTCTTATTATGGTATTATTCCTTGCTTGTTTTGAGTTTCTATTTAACACTGACATCAACCACTTCTGGCAGTGACACTTGGTCACATCACAGTGACAGTGACACTTGGTGTTTGGTGGCATATCAAAGTTGTTTACTTCCTCTTGTCTTGTTAAAGCTCGTTTACTGTCGTCTGAACTAACTCGGTAAATTAGCCTTTACACGCACCCTGCCTGTAAAGCGTTACCGTGGCAGCTTTACAGGCACCTTGCCTGTAAAACGTTATCATGACAGCACCGGAATCCAACACACATTCGCTGCGTCGGCCTTTTTCTTAATCTCACTAATACTGTGCTAATACTAACGTTAAAATCACCTTCAAACTCTTCATCTTCATCGAATTCCACAATTAACAGAGCTCAGAAACAAAATTAAACTATTTAAATTATTAATCGAATTTACAAATTGACAGTCCCGTTATTTTCAAACAATTCAATTTTCCATAGTTACCGGAGCAAACTATGAAAAATGACTATAATTTCTATGACTGTAATTTCAAGTAAAATTTCTAGAGATGCCAAAGTTGTTCATTTTCAGGATTTTCAGCAAGAGGAAGTAAAACGTTGTACGCGGCTCGCTTGCAACTAGCCTTTACTGGGGCTCACCGGATTACAGAGCTCGCTCCTACGTCGCTCGCCCTGCAAACATTCCGGCTCGCCCGTAAAGGCTAATTTACTAAGCTTGCCACGTAAATAACTATTAAAATCCCACAAGGTTGCTCCACTTTCGGTACGTTTGATAGGAACTTTAAAAAGCGCGAGTGACGAGGCCTTATACAGCGTTTAAGCAGTATGAATCTAGTTGGCCTTGTACAATTGTAGAATACGCGTTTTTATTATTTCTTTTTCTACATAGAAAATGAAATACCATCGATTCGCTTTTATGGGCAGAAGAGAATGCAAATTTCATTACAAAGCGCAAACCAAGCAATATCGGCTCTGCAAGATGATAACTCAGAAATTGAAGACGACGAAGAGGAAACTGAAGAAGGCTATGATCAATCCGACGATAATCAAGACAACAATGATGATCAAGATAATTGTTACAGTGAACATGCCAACTCTGACAATAATGAAGAGACATCAGATGAAGAGCCGGTTGCCAGTACTTCCAAGCGCCAAAAGAAGAAAACTACAATCGCTTGGAGGAAAAAAAAAATTGTAGCACCCAATACAAGTTTTATCCCAGAAAACAATGATGATAACAGCACTTCTACGCCAGATTCTCCGTTCGAGTATTTCAGTCGGTATTTCCCTTTGGAGATATTTACCCAGTTGGCCGAATATACTAATATATACTCGGTTTTTAAGTCTGGAAAAAGTCTAAACACAACGGAAAATGAAATAAGGCGACTTGTGGCGCTTCATATTATTATGGGAATAATTAATTATCCGCGACTTCGTCTCTATTGGGCACCACAAACCCAATTCAACTTAGTACGTGACATCGGACTAAGTAGAAATAGATTCGAATCTCTTCGAAACAATTTACATATTACATATGTAAATAAAGACAAGAATGAAAAAGATAAACTCTGGAAGGTAAGGCCCATAATAAAACATTTTGAGAAGAGGTGTGAAGAATTACAAACCGAAGAAAATTGCTGCTTAGATGAGACTATTATACCCTTCAAAGGGCAGTTATCTATCAAGCAGTACATTCGAGGAAAACCTAACCCATGTGGTGTCAAAGTTTATAATTTATGTGGAGAGTCTGGTATCATATATCGATCCATTGTTTATCAAGGCAGTACAACCTTACCTGAACTAAATCATACGTTTTCAGCAACGACTCTACGACGTTAGTTCTGCACCTCGCTGAAAGATTACCAGGACATCGCGGCCATAAACTGTATTTTGATAATTTTTTTAATTCACTAGAAGTGTTACAACAATTGTCAAAAAAAGGAATTTTTGCGGCTGGTACAGTACGACCCAATCGTTTGGGAAAATGCATTTTGAAGACCGACAACGAGCTAAAAAAAATGGGAAGAGGAACGTCTGAATATTGCATCACCCAAGACAACGATATCGTAGCTGTGAAATGGTATGACAACAAAGCTGTCAACATCCAATTTTGTTGCTAAAGATCCAGTTGACCAAGTCAGGCGGTGGGATAAAAAACAAAGAACGCCCCTTCCTATTGAAAGACCATCAATTATTATTAGACTGTATAATAAAAGCATGGGGGGAGTAGATAATAGTACATTATGGAACTAGTGGATGAAGTTGAATTTCAACGGCGAGAGTGATTTTTTCACACGAGCGAGTGCAACGAGCGAGTGCGAAAAAGAAACTCGAGCCGTTGAAATTTCTTCATCCGCGAGTTGCATATACTATTTTTTCTAAGAAATTAGGAAATAAATGTTTGTTTATGGTAGGTATTTTATTTTTGAAATACATTAACTGTAATAGAACAATTTGTGCAATTATCACCAATAATATTTACACTTTTATCGTAAGTATTATTTGAACTTGTATCTTTGTTTAAACTTAGTTGGCTGCTTCCTGTATCAATAACTGCACTTGTTGAAGTTGATGGTTTATCTATAAACAACCTGTTTGCAATATCTTTTCTTGCAGATAACGATTCGTCGATGTATCCTTCAGCTACGGTGGATGATTTCCACCCACCGTGTCTTTTTAACATCATAATATCGCCGCCTGCATTCACTAATAAAGTCGCAGAAGTTCTGCGGAATGCATGGCCCGTGTACTCTTGAGGGTTTCTTAATTTCAAATATGTGGCTATAGTTTTTGGCATTGCGCTAATTTTATTTATTCCAACAAATTGTTTTGTACACTTCCCTGATTGATAATTGCAAAATAATCTTGAACTCTCTAAAGCGGGAGGACGGAGTGCAAAATACTTCCTGCACAGATCAACATATTCAGCAGGAATAACGAATTTTCTCGAAGTTTTGTTTTTAGTATTTGGAAGTGTTATGATTATGTTTTCACCGTTTTCCATGTTATTTAATTTCAATCCATAAAGTTCATCGCAGCGGCAAGCACCCGAAATACCAATTACTAGTACCACCTATAACAAATTAGAAATTATTACTTATGTAGATCCACAATGTTTGAATTACTTTTGTCAATAAATAAACATGGTCCGGTGCTTCATTTATAAATTTTATGATTTGTTCTTTGGAGAAAGTGTTGGATTTTTTCGGGTGATACCCATCGGATTTTCTTTTCAGAAATGCTCGTAGGTTTAAATATTTCGAAATATCTATGTTGTTTTTATTTACAAGCATCGCCCTTAACATCGAATATTGTGCCCACAGTGTGGACGGTTTCTTGTCTTTAGCTAACTCCCCAAAATATGCACCAAAAACGTCTTCATTAAATGAACGGCATTGTTTTCTCTCTCTCCACTTCATAAATTTTCGGTATGTTAGCTCATAAAACTTTTTAGACTTTTCGGGTATCAGATTCGAAAATGCCGCATTGGCAGCATTCAAAATTTCTTCAGAAACTTCGTCAGTCTCACTCATGTTCATTGTTTTCACTTGTGTAAACTAGCAGTATTAAACGTCAAACACTAACGGGTCGTCCAGCCTAGGCGTCATGATTTTCGAAGCGCGCGAAGCGGACGGTGCGGTCGGTGCAGGCGATACGCGACACGTTTCGCTAGCTGCGAAACGCTCAGGCTGGACGACCCGTTAAAATCGTAGACGGCCGAGTATTTTTCCACTAGAGGGTGAAATGAAATTTCATCCACTGCCAGCGATGGGAAAATGACAAACTTCAACCTTAATGAGTAGAAAAAAGCGATTTTTTGGTGGCTATGTATCGCACCTTCATTCATTCCAAAAAATGGACCCTCC